CACTTTTCTTTCGCTCAAGCGTCACCAGTTTGGCGCAGGGAGTAAGAAGGGAAGTCATGGGAAGGGCAGGGGGGAAGGCAGCAGGGTCCCCACCGGGCAGGGGCGCGGGCAGAGGGGTATGTACAGGGCCAGGGGGTGGAGAACGGTCCAGCTTGCTTGATCCTGTTTGTTTTCCAGTGTGAAACAAGGTCTGTGACTTGTTTAAAGTGGTTAATTGGTATTTTCTGTCTCTTTTTTTTTTTTTTTTTTTTTTTTTTTGTAAAAAGGGGGTGAGGGGAGGGTGGGGGGGGGAGGTGGGACAGGGGGCACAGAAAACTGGGAGAGACCCCCACCCTGTTACCCTGGGCTGTAAACGAATCCTCGGAGACGAGTCTCTGAGCTGCTCATTTCTCGGGCATCTTGCTGGCTCCCCCCTTCCGCTGGCTCGGGGGTTTGGGGATGCGCTCATCCCCGTCGGGGCTGCCTCGGGAGCCTTCCCAGTGCTCGAGCGTTTTCTTGTGATTAGTCTTTGCTGCCACGTTCTCTCTGCCCTTCGGGGACGTTTCTGGAGGCCTCTCCTTGGGCTTCCTCCCCCTTTTCTTCCCGCTTGTGCTTTTCTTTTTCTCCTCTTTGCTGGAAGAAAGCTGTTCCCTGCTTTTCTTTTTCCGGCTGGCCTCTGCGGAGGTTCGGAACCAGTTCTGTCCGTGGGGTGACACGAGGGTTAGTGACCGTCCTGGGCCACACACAGCCCATGCCTCGTCTGCCCAAGCCCAGACCACCCCACGCCCCACCAGCATCACCTCCCCAAGGACAAAGCGGCCAGCGCTGGGCAGCTGCAACCGGCCTGGGGGTGTCAGGGACCCAAAGGGGGACAGGGAGGTCCCCCCCCAAGACTGTCACAGCATTGCTGATGCCGCTGGGAGCTGCTGCGCTTTGCTTTCGGCAGACACGGACAGATGGAGCGGGGCAGCCTGAGAACGGGTGTGTTGGAGCAGGGACCAGCCTGGACCATCCCCAGTTGTTTCCTTACCTCCGAGTGAGCCTTGATGATGTGGTACTTGACCCCGCTTTCAGAGCTGAACTCCTTCTGGCACAGGAGGCAGCGGTACTTGCCCACTGAGTGGTCCCCCTGCAAGACAAAGCATCCTTCTGCAGCCCCAAGCAGAGCCGAAAATGCCCTGGAGGGGTGGCTCCCCCCGCCCTGCCCCCCCTGTGAAGGGAGGCTGATGCTTGAACCTCGAAGCAACAGAAAATAAATACTGATTTCTAAAACAGCAGATCTCTGTCGGCCCTCAGTCCCAGGCCCGGAGCTCACAACTGCGTCTTCTGCACTGAATTTCAGCCCATGCTGGTCACGCAGCCGGCTGTCGTGGCACCGATGCCAGGCATCAAAGCGCCAAATCCTACGAGCTCAGAGGGCAGCAAGCGGCAGGTTTTGCTGCCCGTGCATCCTCAACACCAGTTGTTACGTTACCACCGGCACCGTGTGTGTCCCCAGGCGTGTGGGAGGCTGACGGGGCTGATCGCCCCATTTCCTCACTGTCAGCGGGTCTGTGATCTCCTGGGACTGAACCGCCGCCTAATTTATGTCCAACAGACTCACCTAATTTTCCTTTTACGCTGTCAAAGAGACGCAGCGACTGCTGGATTTCTGTCATTAGAGCCCTTGTGGGGATGACTGATCTCCCGGCTCTGCCGCAGTTCAAGGCACAGGGGAGATAATGTGCTCTCTATTGACGAGGGGTTTATGGATGGGCCCCTCCAGGCGATATATATGTTCCCTGGGAATTTCTCCATAGCTGGCTCCGGGCTGTAAATCTGGAGTTAGACAGGTCTTTCATTTCAGGGACAGGCAGGAGGCGGGCAGGCCTGGCTCCGCTGCTGCTTTCCTTCAGAAATACTCATGCAAAAATCCCCCTCAGCACATCAATCCCCGCTGAGGACGGGGCGCTGCCCGGGAGCACCCTCCGCTCTCCGTAAGGCTCGATGTATTTCAACCAGTTCTGCGGGATTTTAGAGCCGAGACCACAGGCCAGCTCAGGAGGGGCTGTGCAAGTTACGCCGGGTTTGGTGGCACACGTATCCGTTGCAAAACTAAATCCTCTGTGAGGGCAAGAGTCCTGCTGACAGCAGCGCGTGGGGGACATGAAGCAGCAAACTCCCCCAGCGCTGAGCCCCGACACCCGGCCCCGGCTGTGCCGGACCTGGAGGATGCAGCTTTGCGGTTAAAGAAAATGCTCGTGCAAACGCCTGGCTGCTTTCTGTGCACAGTACCAGCCAGAAAATGGTTCCATTTTCCCTCAGAGACGGTGCTGCAGGCTAGCAAAGGAACTGTCCTAGTCTCCTGTGTTTGCACTTTTATCCCGCATAAATACAGCTTCTTCTGCCGGATCTCTGCAGCCCATTTTCTAAATGATCTCATTAGGGGTTGATGTTCCAGCTAGTGTTGGAGGAACGCGGGAGTTTGTGTTTTTAATAACCACGGGGTATGTATTGGAGCTGCCTCCTGGAAACTCCATTCAATGGAAGCTGCAGCTGGAAATGTTTCAGGGTATAAAGCTTTACCAGCTCTTACTCAGTTCCAATTTGGGGGACCTACACTGAGCTCCCGATCCCTCCCCTGTGGTGGCTGCAGGCCACCGGAGCTCACTGCAGCCCGCAGCGTTGCCGCTCCATCGAGCGAGAGGGCACTGGTCTCTGCACAGACTCTCCACCTCTTCCAGCCCCAGCTCCATCCCCAAGAGGCGCCGCACCAGCGTCCCTCCAGCTGGGGAAGCCACTGGGCTTCCAGAGGGGCTGCAGGGCCACCCAAATCAAGGGAGAAAGACTCCCCATTCCCACCTGCCTCGGGAAACCTTCAGCTTCCGATGCCCAGCTCCCCGGCTCTGAGCTGCCGCGGTCGATGCGTGGCTGCGTGAGAGGTGCTGGCCACGCTGGGTAGCCAAGGGCTCACAAACAACTCAGGGGCTGCGAGAGCCGCGCCGGGCAGGGGCTGCTGCAGGACGCGGACGCCGAGGCGGGAGGTTGCGAGGGAGGTGGGCTCGCTCCCGCTGCCCCGTCTCCGAGGCACTCTGAGGTCGGAGGTCTGGGCCCTTGGGTGAGACGTTTGTGTTGCAAGACCTCTCCTCCAGCGCTGGGGCGGTAGCTAAATCCCCTCCATCCCATCTGCTCAGCTTGAGCCTCTCCGCCTTCGGCTGCCTGCGGCTGCGGGTTTGATCCTGCCCAGGAGGATGGTGCTGAGGGCGAGTGGCTGGACCGGGATGGTGTAACCACGGGCTGAGCGATGACAACTGGATGGGCAGCGGCATTGCTGGGCCAGCCCTCCCAGCGGTGGTGATCCTTTAACCCATGCCGTTGTCCCTTGGCCTGCTGCTTGCAAATGAGCCAGGGGGGAGAGAAAACCAAACCCCAACCCCACCTCTGAGCCAAGGCCGTAAAAGGAGGGACCTACCTTGTTGCAGTTGGCCAGGTGAGCTTTCAGCCCCGAGACGCTGGAGTAAATGGCTTCACAGCACTGTGGGAAGAAACAAAGCAGGGTTTGCCATGATCCTCCCTCGTCTCCCTGCCTTCCTCCACGCCGGGGCCAGGAGCCCGCTGTGTCAGCAAGGCCACCGGTCCGGGCTAAGCAGCGTGAGGTTAATGTTCTGCGAGACGCGGAGGGCTCTGGTCACACGTTTCCTATTAGCGCTAATGGGAGTCATGTGGTCACATCCCTCTGCAACGGGTTGAAAAATGTCTCCCCTAAATGTCTCCGTGGAAAACGTACATTTGTGAGGAGTCAGGAGGTCCTGCTGGGCTACAGGAGTTCTTGGAGCCACAGCAGACGCTTAACGGAGAAGAGAAATCACCCGGGCAGCAGCATGACCAGTTTCTGAGCAATGTCTTTTCAAAGTGCCTGTGTATGACATTAATTAGCCAGCCCGTCTCCCCCGGCCTTGCGGTAACAGCCCCGTTCAAAACTCCCATTAGCAAGGCTTTGTTTGAGATGATAAATCAACGGCCCAGCACGAGGGTGGAGTTCACCTCCCTGCGAGCTCAGGCCAAGGCTGCGTTTTCCAGCAAGATGAAGCACATGCACCCCGTCCCCGAGGTCTTTGCCTGTCCCAGGGCTTTAAAAAGAATGGCTTAAAACCAGCCATGGGTTTACTCTGGGAAAAGCATAAAAAGGCTCTCAAGCACAGAGCGTTCAGCCTTTGCCCCGTCTGGACCTCAGGAGCTTCCCAAAGGCAGCTCCAGAGCCTGAACTGGGGCAATGCTGAACTGTCAGTCCAAGGGTAGCTGGGGACAGGGTGGCCTGGTCCCCAAGCCTGGTGACACAAGCACACCAGGAGGGTCCCAAAGGTGAGACACACTTCAACCAGGCACAGCAGCAACCCCAGGGAGAGGAGGTGAAACGAGGGCCTGAGCATCGCTGCTAGCTTCACCGCTTCACCTGGGGCCCAACAAGAACCTGGCTTTGGTGGGCTTCTGCCCCTAAAACTCCCCCCTCCTCCTGCAGACTGAGGCCAGCCAGCCCAGAGAAGAACAGATGTGGTCCTTACGTTGTTGGGACAGTTGATGCGGCCCTTCTCCTTCACTTCGTTCTTCCAGTTTTCCAGCAGCCTCGGATTGAGCTTTGGAAGCCCCGGTCGGGTGTAATTGAGCTGCAAACAATAGAAGGCGATTAGCAGAGCGGCACACACCAGTCCGGACCTTGGTGGAGTCCTCGTTCTTCACATGGGTCTTTTCCCCCCCCAGGAGAAGGGAATCGGAGCTGAAAACTAGTTGGGAGGCTTCCCCGGGAGATGTCATCTCTCCCCCCTCCCCGGGACATCGCACAGCAGGGGGGTGGCTCTGCCTGCTGCCGTGCCACCGGGCTGAGGGGTGGCTGTGGGTGAGGAGCAGGGCTGGAGCCCCCAGCGCCGCAGCCCCCAGTGCCGCAGCCACCTCCACGTGGCGCTGGCAAACGGGAGAGGAGAGGCTCCTGCTCCCGGGTCTGCGCCCCAGCGCGGGGACAGGCGCGGACCCGGCATTTTCGGTGCATCATGTTGGCACAGTCCCGCTGCTGTGTTTCATAACCGGCAGAATAAACAACCCTGCACGCTGGGCAGAGGGGACAGACGCCAAGAGCCTCCATGGCTGCCTTCCACCGATGAATGGGCACAACCCGTTAAACAATGAAGGGCTCTTGTGTCTCTGCCTCTCCTTCTGGCAGGCCTGCTCTTTCCAAGTGCTTTTAATTACCGCTTTATTAGCGACTTTGAGGTTTAGCATAGCGGACCGGCCTTCCCAACTCCATTTCTGCATGTACAGCCCAAGCAAACGCGGCTGCGGCATCTCTGTGCCTCGCAACCGCCGTGCTTGGTCCTACCTGTGGGGCTGGTCCCTGCCTGCCAGCGTGGCAAGGACCGCAGGGGACACCGGGATGCTCTGCCTTCAGCCTGAGCTGCCCGCCTGCCGCACAACCACATCAGCACAACCGCCAGCCCGACCTAGCGAGCTCTGCTAGGACCCATGGATGTTGCTCGGGTCCCAAGGCTCCAACTTGCCCCGAGTGGGAGCAGGGCTGGGTGAACTCGCACGTGGCACAGTACAGGCGCAGGTACCCGAGCACGTGCTGCTCTCCCCGGGCCACCTCCGAGCGCAGGGCATGGCTGCACCGACGCATCCAAGCTGGCTGGGGAGGATGCACAGACTAAACGGCGCTGGCAGAGAGGTGCAAACCCAGGCTTTGTTTTTGAAACGTGCCCCTAGGACCCGGAACTCGCGGTTCCGACACGGCAGGGAAGCGGCTGGCTGGATTTCTTTTCCAGCTGTGATTTTTTCTTGAACGTGCTGATAAAGTCGCGAACTTGCCTTTGTCCAGCTCCCCTGAGCCGGCTGCTCCCAAACCTCCCTGCAAAGGGGAGCTTCCACTGAGGGCTCAGACACTCAACCGCTCATTTCCACTCAAATTTAAGTGATCCACAAGCCCCCGCAGCCCCCGCCTCGCCACACGGCCGGAGGAGAAGGGAGCCCAGGGAGCGCCGGGGTCCGCGTGAGGGGCAGAGGCAAAGGGCCTTGCGAAACAGCGCTTCGAACGCTCGTAAGGACGGATGTGGAAAAATCCCCTGAGCCCCAGCATGCTGCTATTCTGTCGTGCTTCGCAGCTGGGGGAGATGCCAGCAGAGCTCTTTGAAGCACTGGGATGGTGCATCTACCAACCGCTTGGTCCCCCGCCCGGGGAAGGCAACGCCACCTCCGGGGGAGAACACAGGAGTCCCTTTTTGTCATTGATACTGAGAGCTGGGATGCCAAACGGCCTCCTTAATTAAAAACCAATCAATCCCATGAATGAGCAAACATTAACGGTAACCGCATACAGCCCCAGCAACAACCTCTCCCTCCGCGCGTCCCCGGGGAAGAGATGAGGGGGGATGTTCAGAGATGTGGACTCCGCTGCTCCGTCTTCCCACTCCAGAGAAAAATCCCTCCCCGCTCTCCTCCAACAGCCCTGCACAATAACATGCAAATCCCATGTCTTCCCGGGGCGCTGCGGTTCGGGGAATGTCAAAGTCATCTTTATGTCTCTATTAAGAGGGAGCCCCAGGCATGGAATATTTTTTTTTTTTTCCATTTATTTTCCTCAAACAGCCTGTAAGTGAAAATCTTCATGGCCAAATCATTAAACGACTACAACTGGTTTTGGCCGCAGCCCATCTCTTCTGAACAGTCGAAGGATGCTGGGGTGGGAAGGCTTGTTTTCTTTGACTGACAGTTTTATTTAATTAAACTTTCATATTTCAATCCTCTCCACTCCCTAGACAGCTCTCCCCTTCCCCAAAATATATCACAGTAAATGAGAACCATGCAGGCTGCCTCAGCCTCGGCCAACAAACTCCCCTGGAAGCCTTACCGAGGTCCCCAGTGCGAGGCACGGCTCTCCCATCGCCCCGCGGAAACCACGGCTGATGCCGTCCGGGAGGTGAAGCCAAAACACACCCCGGGGCGCTGGCCGGCAGCCGGGTCCCATACGCAGCTCCGGGCAGATGGGTCACACCACGTGGTGCTGCTGAGCGAGGGGAGGAAGGACAGACTCAGCCCTGCCGAGCTCCGGGTCCACAGCCGGAGCTGGGATCTGGTTTGGCCCACCAGTGACATGAGTCTGCAGGGCTCAGCGTGGCTCCTGCCCGGATCGCAGGGCCATTGTTTTGGGGGACGAACCCCGGCCAGGCTCTTCTGCTCTGGAATTTACCCTGGTTCCAGGATGGGGTTTTCTTAAAAAGTCGAGCCTGGAGACAACTTTTCCCCTTTAGCTTTATGGCTGGCCTCCGGCAGCCCTTCGCTCTGGACCCCCGTCACCCTGCCACGCAGCACCCAGGCTCCACAGCGACGTGTAGCCTCTGTGGCTGTCCCCAGCCCTGCAGGAACACCCAGACGCTGAGCCGTGGGGAGGCAGACGGGTGCCCTTGCACCCCACAGACATGGATGAGCTCCGCATCCCTCTGTATGACACACAGGCTGCCTGGGCTGCAGGAGCCCGTCACCACCTCCGGCACAGAGCTTGTGGCACTTTGAAACAAGCCCACCCCACCTCGAGCTCCAGAGGGAAAACATCACACCATGAAACCGTGGGATTTCCATGGTGTTTTCTCCCATCTTCCCTCTTAGATGCTTCTTCCCTCTGCTTGGTGAGCCTTTTTCTCTCAGTCCAGGCTCCAAAATGTGTGAGGGCATCATCTCCCAACAGATCCCAGAGCCCACCACCGCCTGCCTGCACTACCGAGCTGGGGATCTGCCAGCCTCTCGCTCCTTTTGCAGCAGCCCCGAGACTGCTCACGGGCAGGCGATGGCCCCAGTGAAGGCCAGAAGAGGGTCGGAGGATCGGCATCATCTTCACGGAGCTTCTGGAAAGGGGATTTTTCCCAGAAAAGCAGCAGGGGTGTGCCCTTCCCCATCTGACATCCCCAGCAAGCGGCCGTTGTGAAACACCCATCTGTTTCAGCTTATCCAGAGGCAAATAAAGATCGGAGCGAGAAAATAAGACTCCAGTGTATATTTAGAAATGCTGGATTTGGTTAGTGCAGAATGAAGGCAGCGCAGGGCCTGGGATCGAGCAGCAATCGTTTATTCTAATGCCATTGCTTTGGTGCGAAGGAATCCGTCCTCCCGGGGAAAGGCGAATGCATCCCACCACGGGCCACCAACGGGATCCAAACCCAAAGTCCCTCTCCTCAGCTGGGACCGGCTGCCACGTGGCTAAGAGGGTGAGCCACGGCGCAGGGGCTGCAGCGGGGCCGTGCCTGCCGAAGGGCTGCGAACCCTCGTATCCCTTCAGCTTGCTGAGGAGCTGCTTGCTTTCCCCTGGGGAAAAGGTTTGCTGCCCAGAAAAGGGATGGAGAGGAGGGGTGGCTTTCTTCATCAGCTCCCTTGAAATCCACATCGCCTGTTGGGACCATGGCGGGTAACTGGAGAGCCTGGGGACAGAGCGGGTCTGGTGCCGCAGCAAGTCCGGGTGCATCCAGCCATCACCAGTTCCAGACTGAAGCTGGGAAGTATCCGGCCCTCCACGACCTTGGAAATCCTCAGCTCTTGCTGAGAAGGTACAGGAGCAGTTGAAATCTGCCGCCGATCCCTGACATCCCACCTCTCTCCAGGTCCAAGCCAGCGAGAGGGACTGCGGGCCCAGCAGCACGCTCCCAACGGCTGGATACGGCCCGTGGGAAGAAGATGTGGTGGCGTGACAGCTTTTCTGGGAACCATCAGCCCTACCACCCCGGTCACAGTTAACTGGTGTTTGTCTTTCTGCTGCTCCGGTGGCTCTGGGTTGTCAGCTCCCTTGGAGGGACGGCCACCACACACGCTCAACGGGGCGGTGGCACAGGGACGTGGGGACGCTGCCCGCTCTCCCGAGCCTGCCGCGCCGCCTGGGGCTGGACCCGCCACAGAGCTGCCCTGCCAGCACAGCTGAAGCCAGTTCTGAAGGAAGGGCTATTTTGGGGGCTGTAACAGGGTCAAACTGGGCGCTTGCTGGCGTGTTTGAGTCGCATGCAGTCGGGAGGGTTTTTTCCGCACCCTCAACTGAAGCAACTTGTAAACGTAGACCAGTCCTGAGCGATGCAAGACGCTGCTCAGCGGAGCAGCACAGAGTGTGCTGAAGTCAGCAAGCTCCCACCAGCCTCCCCAGGCAGAACCTGCCTCCCACCTCCTTCCAGCATCACTCGTCGAGAAAAAAATGTCATAGACTGAACAGATTATATTTTAGAGTGTTGTCAAGGGAACGTGACAGTCACTGCAAGACGCACCCGCAGGCACACTCACAGCTACATACGTATTCGCCCACTGCGCTGACCTTCTCCGAAATCCGTCTGTGAGACACGCGACCAGCACAGCCAGGAAGAGCAGCCCGTGCAGGGCCCAAGGTCTGATCCTCCAGCCCAAGAGCCTTGTTTTACCACCTGGGAGCTGGTCCAACTCCCCCCTCGCTCATCTTCAAGGCAAACCTGTTTCCACCAACCTCACAGCAATTCTCTTAGTGCAGAGATGGAGCTCAATTAAACTTAAACGATTAGACTCTGAACACAAGAAATGTCTCATAAAAAACTCCACCACCACAACCAGCCTTTCACAGAGCAATTACGCCAGTGGCTGAGACCTTTACGATGCCTTTGTATGTCAGCTTGCACATGGGCCCTTTGTCCTGGGATTTGGACTCCTGGCTGCTCCCTCAATTCAAACAGAAACTACCCAAAGTCAAGAGTAAGGGGAACAATTTAAGGAGGAAAGAGAGGAATGCAAGTGCTGAAGCTGGAGGGGGGGAGAAGAGAGCACCACACCTCTCCTCCCACAGTATCTGAAATGAAATAACTACTTTGGGCTTGATTTTTTTATGTTACAAATGCATTGCAGCTGAACTCATCTGGAAACCAACAACGACAACACCAAGCACTGGGGACATAAAAAGTTTGCCACCAGTTCTGGCCCTAAAATCCCCAGCTCTGCTCCAAGGAGGATGGCACCACTGCGGCCAGACCCCCCTTCTGTGCCAGCCGCCTCACCGGGAAGCCAAGGAGGGTAAAGAAGACACTGGTTTGTTTGTGTGCTGTTTTTTCACTTGCCCACCATGTGCAAACTGGAAGCTGAGCTGTGCTGAGCTCCACCAGGTCTCTGCAGGACGATGGTGGCACTTCTGCCGAGAACACACATGTGACAGCACGGGACAGGCTGCGGCAGCGAGAAGGCATTTCGGCTGAAGCTCTGCTGTTGTGCCACCCATTTTCCTGGGGCAAGCTGTGTCGCTTCTCCAGGCTGGCTCTGGGACTTGGGCTGTTTTCCTGGCTTGAGGCAGGTCCTTTGGGTTGGGGCTGTCCTGCGCTCTGCGCGCTCATGGCAGAGGCACTGCCACGCTCTCCTGCTGCAGCAAACCTTTAACCTGCTGCCCTCTGCACCTCACTCCCATCTTTGCTGTGTGCCCATTATCTTGCCCAGAGTGAATTTTGGAGCACTGGAGAAAAGATGTCCAACTGTTCAGAGCAAGGAAAAGACCTGGCACCTAACCGCAGAGTTACTTGCTCAGGAAACAGGCTGCAGCTTGAGCGGAGACTTGCAGGATGGCTCTGCGTTGAGTCCCAGTGCTGGCCAAAAAGTATTGACCACAGGATTAGTACACTCCCACTCCCTCTCTTTTTTTTTTTCTTTTTACACTGAAAAGGTTTATGATTTACTGCTGCTTCATTCCTTTTATGGTCCAGAAGGAGCGTTCCTGAAGGGAATTTCAGCCTTGGGACATTCCTAGGAATCACCTCCTCCCAAAGCTGGGAGGGATGTTTGATTTAACACGTTACTCCAACGCCTCCATGAAGCTCAAGACTGCCAGGGCACCGACTTTCGCCGCGCAGATCCCACAACACCAGGCCACATGTGCATTGCTGCTGGAGACTGCAGGGCTCAGCCCTGCCTCCACACTCCGGTTTCCTCCACTCGCAGGAGCACCGCTCCAGCAACGCTGCAGGTCCTTTGCATCCAGGGAAGCCCAGACAAAAAAACACGGAAGGGAGGAAATTCCACCCGGGGCGTCTTTGCTCTCTGACAGTGCGAGGGAGATCATTTCAGATCCAACCTCTGCTCTCTTCACGTGCTCCTCTTGGCTGTCAGCCCCTACTTCACTGCTGAGCACAGACCAGAACTGACCTCGCTCCACAACACCCTCCGGGCTGGACTCTGAGATCTCTCCGCTTCCCACAAACCACCGCCTTTTGCTTCATTTACATTTGGGTCCTGCCAGTGGAAAGGGCAAAGCTGCCTGCTGCCAGGCTTGCACGGAGCCTCCAGACCACTGGGGCTCAGTCTGTGCTGGGTGGGCTCTTTAGCAATAAATTTGCCATCAAAGCTAATTGATTTAAGGCACAGAAAATGAGACACATGAGCCCTCAGCCAGCTGGGGCCGTGCTGGCATCCCAGGATCGCTGCATATAGCTAGTGCAAAGAAAAAGAGAAATAAAGGCTTCTCACCCGCTTTGTTTCAGGCACCAGGTCATCCTTCATCCTCCGCTTGGTCCAATCCTTAGCAAGCTCATCCTCCGCTATCTCCTGAAGGTGGAAGACGGCTACTTGGGCTGACGTCCGACGAATGCGGCCGCTCGGAGTCCTTTCGAAATCTTCTATGGGGCCAGGCTCCGGCTTCACCTCTGGCTCCTCCGGAGGCTGCAACAGAGACAGAGTCAGGACGGGCATGACAAAGGGAGAAGAGGTGAGCTCTCCGGCCCCGGGACGGGGATGCTGGGGTTTGGGCTGTGTGTTTGCAGACCTGCTTCGCGCAGGCGGGGGCTGCGGAGACACCAGCATGCCTCTTCCCCTGAGCATGGGAACAAGGGGAGCACCCCCGCCTCCCTCAGCCCAGCAGACTGCGTTAGACCGATTGCGTCCTTTCACGCTCCCACGTGTATAAACGTCTCCATTTATTAGAGTTAGGGAGTTATTAGCGTTGGATGCACTGTCAGTAGGGATCAACAGAACAGAAAAGGATGCTCCCCAGGGATGGATCCTGCCACCCCAGCACTGGCAAGCAGCCGGCACTTGCTTGCTGCCGAGGGAGCAGCCCGAGCTCTGTTTTTTTTCCCTCCCGAGCATGGATGCAGGGGTGGGCTGGAGCACAGCCCTGTGGGCACCAGGGAAGGGGAACGCTGCCGACCGCTCCAGTCCTGTAAACGCAGCACCTTGCTTTTTCAGAGGGCTGGAGGGGGCTGTAGCCCATTCCCCCCGACACTGCATGGTACAATACACGCGCATGGTGACGAGAGGGAGAAAACAACATCGGTCCGACGTCTGCACCTGCCTTGCCCGGCCCGGCCCTGCCCGGCTCTGTCCTGCCCACAGGCTCTGCAGCTCTGCAGTCACCCCCGGGGGGGGATGGCCCCGCTCCTCGGGCTGCGGAGGCGTCCAGGGGGCTCACCGAGGCCGTGTGTTCTGACCGCACATGGTAGTCATGACCGGCCTTGGATTTGTACTTCTTGCCGCAGTGTGGACAGCTGAAGACAGGCTTGTCAGCCTCGGCGAGCTGCTTCCCACACCGCTTTTGGTGGTATTGGTAGCCCATCAGGCTGGAGAAGTTGGCCACACAGCCCTACGGAGATGGGGAGAAGGGGAGGGTTAAGGAGGGCTGGGGCTTCGTGTGCCCATGTCGAAAATGTGCGGAGTGTCAACGCTCCAGGGAGAAAGACGTTCCGAGGAGCCCCCTCTGCAGAACAGCTCTGCTAACCTGTCCCCTCCAAGCAATGGGGCATCGCCAGCCGGCCCCTCTGCCCCAAAGAGCCACACACAGGCACGACGGCACCGCGGAGGGACAGGGGGAGCAGTCCCCATCGTGGCACTACCCGCCCCAACACACCGACAGAGCTCTCCAGACAGACGCACAGCGGGCAGCGGGAGGGGAAGGCGTTGGAGAGGCACTGCCTGCGCAGAGAGTAAAGCATCCGCGGGGACAAACCTCTGCCATACGCCCCCGTTACCTGTTCGTGACTTGTCTGCAACCAGCTCGTGACCGTTTTTCGGTGTGGTTTGGTTTAGTTTTACACTGTGCCCAGGACAGCGCCGGCTGTGCCCCTTCCTGAGTTCAGGAGGCGGAACCTGCCCTTCAGCGCTCCTCAACCTGCCCTACATCCACCCTCCTGCCGGGATGGCCCATCGCCGGAGCGCACAGAGCCAGAGGGATGGGGACCAGGATGGCTGAGCTAAAGATGAGAAGTCAAGAGCGCACCAAGGGACGCCTGGAGAGCGTGCGTCCCCCTCTGCATCAGGACTCACTCCTTCCACTTTTTCACATAACGAGAAACAGGAATTGTTCTCGTACCTCATTGGGGCATTTCAGTTTTCCCATCTGCTTTAGCACTTTCCTCAG